AGTATGGACCCAGACAGAGCCTCTGGAGATGCCTGGGGGCTGTTGAATGCAGAGATGAAGACACAGTCTTTGGAATGCCAGAGGGCATTACTGGGAGATGATGCCAAGATTTCTGCTATTCTGAGATAAGCCAAAACCTGTTTCTGAGTTGAGGAAGTTACAACAGTATTTATTTTCCTATTTTTATAAAGCTTTTATTTCCGTATTACTTTATGACCTGCAAGAAACAATGTTCTGTATATACACCAATACTTGGTAGCATTTACCAACTTCAACACTACCCCTTCCTTACAGATGAACCTTTATAGATTCCAGAGTTGTTAAAACTTGTCTCTTGCACCTCCTGCCAATGAGACAGGTGTTAAGAAAAGTGTATGCAACAAACCCACAACCCCATCAGAATTCCTTGCTAGGATTTCCCTCTCCTTCCCAAATAAAGCAAACAAAAATCAAGGAAACTAAAAATAGCACTCAGTTTTAACATAGAATTTGTTTGGTTGTAAATGAAAAATGCTGTGGCAGTACAGAGCAACATGGGCTGTGAATTTCTTCCAAGTATTTACAATTACTGTGTACCAAGCCTGGGTATCATTTCATGAAACATAGTTAACTATTCAAGATCTTTCTTTTTAGATTATTTAAAGGTCTTAGATTTCAGTGAAGCTTTTCATTTTCTCACAGCGCCCTTCCAGACAAGATGTCCAGCACACAGCTGGATAAACATGTCATGCAAACATGGTGAGCAACTGGCTCGTGGGCTGGGCACAAAGGGTTTCAGTGAATGGGGTGACATCAGATTGGTGACCTGTCACTACTGGGGTTCCACAGGGCTCCATCTCAGGTCCTGTGCCCTTCAGGCATCTTCATAAATTACTTGGATGCAGGACTCAAAGATATACTAAGTTCACCAATGATAGTAAATAGGGAGGAGCTGTCCACACCCCTGAGGGCAGGGAGGCCGTGCAGAGAGGCCTGGACAAATCAGAGGGCTGGGCAATCACCAACCAGATGAAGTTCAAGAAGGGAAGGTGCTGGATTCTGCACCTGGGATGGGGCAGCCCTGGATGTACTGGGGGATGAGATGCAGGAGAGCAGCGCTGCACAAAGGGACCTGGGGGTCCTGGCTGGCAGAAGGTTGAACATGAGGCAGCAGTGCCCTGGCAGCCAGGAGGGCCAACCCTGTCCTGGGGGGCATCAGGCACAGCATCACAGCCGGGCAAGGGAGGGGATTGTCCTGCTCTGCTCTGGGCTGGGGCGGCCTCACCTCAGTGCTGGGGCCAGTTCTGGGTGCCACAGTATAAAAAAGACATTAAACTATTGGAGAGTGTCCAAAGGAGGGCAACAAAGATGAAGGGCTTGAGAGGAAGCCATAGGAGGAGCAGCTGGTGTAACTTGGTCTGTTCAGTCAGAGAAGACTGAGGGGAGACCTCACTGCAGTCTGCAGCTTCCTTATCAGGTGAAGAAAGGAGCAGGCACTGATCTCTTCTCTGTGGTGAGCAGTGACAGGACCTGAGTGAATGGCCTTGAGTTGTGTCAGGGGAGGTTTAGGCTGGATATTAGGAAAAGGCTCTTCACCCAGAGGGTGTTTGGGCACTGGAACAGGCTCCCCAGGGAAGTGGTCACTGCACCAGCCTGGCAGAGTTTAAGAAGTGTTTAGACAATGTTCTCAGGCACAGGGTGTGATTGTTGGGCTGTCCTGTGCAGGGCCAGTAGATGGACTTGATGGCCATCATGGGTCCGTTCCAACTCAGAATATTCTACGAAGTTCAACTTAATTTTCTAAACCTCTGAGAGCAAAGCCAAATTAATTTGTCATTTTGCAGACACACACACAAGTTTCTAGTAATTGCTATCTATACAAATTACTAGATCAAGTTTAAATATTATTCAAGTTCCTAGTGATGAAAGCATTTCTACTTCCAGAGACATGTCACAAAACCAGGCTCAGTAGTAACATACAGAGCTTTACTTCAATATACAGTGACAAACAGCATTTTCAGCAGAACTTTTTTATACTCAGACAAATATTTATTATTTTTCCTACACATCCTTTTTAACACAGCATTCATTTCTGGTAGGAATTTTTGTCAGTGTTTTGAAAAGCCAAGACTCTTTACTAAGTTGTAATCAAGCATCATTTAATTGAAGTCATACTTGTTTGGATACTTTGGGTGAAGTGCAGACTGTGTGAGGCTAACCTGAGCCTGAGAGCAACACTAGGTATACTTTATACATTACAAGCAAAGCCCAAGCTAAGGGCTTCTAGTGCTGATGCAAGTAATTCGTGCCTGGCTGGCTTGGACTTCATCCACAAAACCTTTCCTTGTAGGTGGATCTTAAAATAATAAGAAGAAACTTTTCTTATTTTTTTAATTGTGAACAACAGAGCTCAATCGCCAGACAAATAACACCTAGTGACAGATCTTCACATGGCAAGTAACTCTGATTTGAGTCACTCTTTATACTTCCTGCTAGATTACTTTCTCTCACAAAACCAACTTTAACCCCCACTCCCTTTGTGCAGTAGCAGCGAAATCAAGGCTGTGCACCCTAGTGGAGGAATTTATTTCCAAAGGAAAACCAAGCATCTTACTTCTATCCCGCTCTTAGCTGCCTGATGCCCTTGCTATCCCTACATCTGGCTACCCAGGTGAAAGTTTAGTTATCAGTTCATTAGCTAGTTTACCTTTTCCTTGTCTTCCAAACTCAGGCTTTCTAAGGTCCCTGAGGTTTTGTTCTCACCCTAGAGAAAACCTATGCGAGCTGCGTTTTATCTGACCGTTTCCCGAACTTTCTCAACGTGACGATTTTGTCCGGCTGCCACGGCTCAGGGGCACTTTCAGGGTATCCCGCGGGACTGATTTCCCTCCGGGACACGTTTTCTACCAACACTTGGGAATCAATCACAGCACTGGGCCGTATTTGCGAGGTGCCGGGTCCGCTCCGCCCGATGTGCGCCCTGTGCTCACGGGCGTCCCGGGCGACCCCGAGGGCGCTCCCGCGGGGGCACCATCCCCATTCCCGCTCGGTCCGCAGCAGCTCCCGCCCCGCGGGCACGGCAGAGCCCCGGGCCGGNGCCGTCGGACCTCCGAGCAAGGCCCGTGTTTGGCAGCGGTGCCCGCCGGCGGGAGCGGACGGCGGTCCTGCCGCTTCCCTCTGCTGAGGGCTCGCAGCCGCGCGGGAACTCGGCGGGATAAAGGTCGGCGCGGAGGGAGGGAGGGAGAGGCTGGGATCCAGTTGCTAACCCCGAAGTGGGGATTTGGAGTGGTTTTCAGTAATGGTGTCTCGGTTGACAAGTTGGGCGTCCGGGTAGATTGGCTCCCTAGCAGCCAATTCCAGTGTTTCAGTAGCGGCAGACTAGGGAGAGAAAAGTTTCCCCCCCACTCTAAGACTTGCAGCCTTGGTTCAGAACTGCAGTATGAGAAGGCACTTGGAACCCAGGCTGTTCATCTCAGCACAGATATGCACTTCCCTGACTTTCCTTCAATTCTGATTAGCCTCTTGTGAAGGTTTAATTGACTTTATTTTAGTGACTATGCAATAGACAGACGTAAGGAAATTCTTTCTGGAATGATGCAGCTATCTCATCATAGTCTGCAGGTTAGGTCAGTGTTAAACGATTGCATAAAATGGTACCAGTTTCAGCAGAGACAAAACATGAGAAGTCTCAGGAATTTCAGCCATCTTCTCAAAGTTGTTTTCTTTTTTGCCTTACCCAATTTCACCTTTCCGCATCACAGTAAATCTGACCTCTCCCTCTTGCCTCCAGGCTTGTCCGTACAAGCTAGGCCCTCGTACCAATGGTATGTGTTGGGGCACGTTTGTCCTTTGGTTGGGATGTGACTGCACCAGGGTAAAAAGTTATTTTTTTCCCTCTCTGTTGTGTGAGAATGAGATATTTTCGTGAACTTTGGCCAGTGTTGCTTTGCAAGGTACCATGCTCTCCCCACAGCGCACAGCCAGCACCAAGTGGAGATCTATCCATGGCCTGTGTGGCTTCCCCAGTCTAGCCTTGAGATGGACCAGCTATGCAGGTTCCCAGCTCGGGTTTCAAAGTGTTTTGTCCGCTTCAGTGATAGTTTCCAAATGGCTGCAATCAGTGCAAGCTGAGCCCTGAGAGTGAAGTCTGAACTTCAACAAAACTTACTTTTGAAAGGGCAAAGAGTGTGGATTTTAGTTTTTAAGAGTAGGAGGAAAGCTGAAATGGAACTTCTCTGATGTTTGACTTCCTGTATTCTGCTGGAGTGTGATAGCATCTAGAAAATCAACATAAACTCTTTAGCTTAGGGCTTTTTCTTCTCAGCTCTATAACTCTGCTTGCCTCCTTTTTTGGATGACATAGCAATGAATGTGGAAGGGCAGGCTCTGCTCTATCTGCCTTTGCCTGCTGGTTTGTGCTATATAAGCATGCAGCCCTGACAGAGCTAGCTTGAGGCTTCTCAACAGTGCTGGCAAATTCAAACATTGTACTTTTGAGATTAAGTGCCTTGTCTGAGCTGCAACAGAAAGTCTTAGAGGCCTGCTGGAGGTGTCTGGGTGGAGCAAGGACTTCTGTTGAAGAAGGCCAAGCAGTACTTACTTCTGGGACAAAGAAAGCAGTTCAGCCTTCTAGGGCTATCCTGTAAAAATGCTGGGGAAGTCTCTGCTTTGTCTAGATGTGGCTTAACTCATGCAGTGATGGTAATTTCTTTTGCTTTGGGAAGTACACCGAAAGGCAAAATGCTGGTCAGAGTCAACCACAGAAAAGGAAGGAGAGCATAGTGGATGTACAGAGGAACTGTATTAAGATGTGCTTAGTTCCTGCCCAAAGCCTTGTTGAGAAATACACTGAGGTATGCTTGTCCCATAATAAACTGATGGAAGGAGAGAGTTTAATAAGTTGTTTGAATCCATAATCATATGGGTGACAAATGAAAGTGACTTGCCTATGGCTCTGGAGAGACTGTTAGGGAGTTCCCTTTTTCACAGGTCTAGAGCTGTTTTTTCACAGTTTGAAAAGTCACCGTTCTGTGTATTGTGTCATCCTGCAGGTAAAAGGACACAGAAAAGAAGATGGACTGGGGAACTCTGCAGGCTGTTTTGGGAGGTGTAAATAAGCACTCCACCAGTATTGGGAAGATATGGCTCACAGTCCTCTTCATCTTCCGTATCATGATCCTGGTCGTGGCTGCAGAGAGAGTCTGGGGAGATGAACAACAAGATTTTGTCTGCAATACACTTCAGCCTGGCTGCAGAAATGTTTGCTATGATCACTTTTTCCCCATCTCTCACATCAGACTCTGGGCCCTGCAGCTGATCTTTGTCTCCACACCTGCACTGCTGGTGGCCATGCATGTGGCCTACACCAGGCATGAGAAGAAAAGGCGGTTCAGAAATGGTGAGAAAATTGATATTGAAGAGCTAAAAAATGAGAAGATTCACATTCGGGGCCCCCTGTGGTGGACATACACCAGCAGCATCTTCTTCAGGATCGTCTTTGAAGCTGTCTTCATGTACGTCTTCTATTACATGTACGATGGTTACCAGATGCCCCGCCTGGTGAAGTGCGAAGCTTGGCCCTGCCCCAACACCGTGGATTGTTTTGTGTCTCGGCCCACTGAGAAAACCACATTCACTATTTTCATGCTTGCTGTGTCTGGGATCTGCATGATGTTGAATCTGGCTGAGTTGTGCTACCTAGTGATAAAAATTTGCATGAAAGAATCCAGGAAAACAACAGTTTTGAAATAAGTCCCAACTTTGTAACAAAACAATAAACAATATTTTCACACTCAAGGAAAAGGATAAAAAACATGAATGTTCTTTTGTGTTTTAAAACTGATAGCCTCCCCGGGAAGCCGATTCTGAAGCAGGTTTTAAAGATCATAAGCTAATTCAGTATTCCTGCATCTGCAATTAGAGAGAGCAGTTTTCTGGTACCAGCTTCTCCAAGTATGCCTGCTGCTGGGATCCTATTGTTGGGACAGTTAACTCTTCAAACAGTGGGAGTGGAAAGGACCAGAGAAGGCTCTAGTGCCCAGAGGAGATCTAGTAATCATGAAAACCCTGTGTTAGCTCAGGCAAAATAATACCAAAGGTTTTTGATTAAAAGTGGGGTAAAGGATTGTTTTGGGGCACATCACATCTGGAGAGCACAAAAATGGTGTAGAACCACAGGTACTCTGGAAGTGCATGATATCAGCTTTTCTGGGCACTAGCATGTTTTTTTCTTCTCATCTTCTTGCCTGTACTGAGAAGTATTTCCTTAAGGGCTGGGGGTGGCAAGTCTCAACAGCCTGTGAACGCCATTAGGTCAATGCTGCCCTCCCCACAGTCACAGAGACTACAGCAGTGGGAGGAATGAAGTTCATTTTCATTTAGATCAGATGAGAAAAAGGATTGTCACTTCTGGGTGAGTGAAGGCAGTGCAACAGTCTTCCTCCTTCTCTTGTTCTCCCCCAATATGTTGTGAGAAATCTCAGTACAGTAGACTTCACCCGATGGAGAGACATTTTACCACCTGTGCCTCACTCAGCTATATACTATTAAAACTTTTTTTTTTCCAATAAAAACCAAGAAAAAAACCTTTCTTCATTATTTTGGTTATCCAAAGAAAGTGCTTCAACTTGCAGCATGATATCCAGTGCTCCTTTTATTGCTCTTTTTTTTTTTTCTATGTGGCCTGCACAGTTTTACTTCATAAAACCTTCTCCTTATCTGAGGTACCTTTCAAAGGAGTTGAGCAAACCACTCCCAGTCTCTCTGACATTCCACATTATGAGATTAAATCACCATTCCTTTTCTTAGAGTTGGTCTAGCAGGAATTACAGACAGCTTGCAGAGCTAAAATAGTAAAGGGACCCAATCAGAAATGAGGAGGAACTTGATCTTTTTCTATAAGTTACCTCTGCTGTGCTCTAAATTGTATATTACTAATTTGAAGTACTATATGAGTCAGTCTAGTCTTGTCTCAAAGTAGTCTCAAAAGGTGTTTTATGGCTGTAATGGGCAGTATCTGGCATATTAGGGCAACACAGTTTATCTCCCAAGTGCCTGCCCATTGAACCCACTTCTAGAAAACTGGCTGTTTCTCCTTGGCTTTAATAACTGGCTTTTCCTCAAAATGAATGTTATCTCAGCTTCTCTATTTGCATTTATAATTTACTGTACATTTAAGTTTGTCACTATTGGAGTAAACAAAGCTTCATGAATTAAGAGCCACGACCCTTCACTGTGCACTGAAAGTTGATCATAAACAGGCTTCCCTTGCTTGTGAGCTACATCCAGTGTTACAACTTGACTGCAGATGGAAATCTGTCATCTAAGAGGGAAGCAAGAAAACCATAAAAACACCATCCTTAGAACCATGAAAAAAATATAGAAGGTCATTCATAATGAGCTGGACTGGAACCTTGGGCTATGAAAACATCCTTAATTCAACTCCAAAGAGCACAGTTTGGCACATATCAGGTTTGTGCTTGATAGGGTTCCTGCATTGTTCCATGTACAAGTACGGAGAGAGCAAACTAGTCCCTGTGCTCTAGTATTACATTTCTTTTGTAACAAGATTTTTTTTTCTCCCTGAAATTATAGTTAAAGCATTTCTGTGGTGTCTGTTTTCTGTATTGTACGTGCTGTGTGTTACTTATCGTGTCTAATGAAAAATGTTACTTAATGTGCCATAATGGAAAATGTATGCACCAATACTCCACTCAGTAGCCAAGGGTTAGTGTAAGGATTTGAGCCTTCTGCTGCAGGTTGGTGTTTCCACTGGTTACATTGCCTGTTACCCTGAGGTTTCCTGAGCTCATAGTGGAAGGCCACATATGTGCTCCACTTGAAATCAAATATGCTGCCTAAGACAGCCCTGCAGCTAGAAAAGGCCAGTGATAAACTTAACCATAGGGAAAGAGTTTGTTTTCTCCTCCTGCCTTCGAATTCAGCTGGAACTTGAAATGAGACACACCAAAACTGTTAACACTAACACTAGGAAGTTATCTTCAACTAGTAGCTTGGCAACCAGATTATCAGAAAAAAAGAAATACAACTGGGGAAAGTGTTTGGATGTAGCCAAGACAGGGCTTTGATCCAGAAGTGCAGCATCAGGCAATGATAGCTCTGAGATCTGTATATATTTAATTTGACTGAATAGCTGCTTTATATGTGAAAAAATCAGATACGTTATAGGAACATCGGAATTGCACTTATTTCTACATGTGCTACATTGCATAGCTGACCTTCTACAGATGGATTTCACGCAGATTAAAATATATTGCTGTGTTTGAATTGTGTGTGTTCTTTCTTGAAATGCACTAGTAGTGTCTGCATTTCTGGTACTTGGCTCCTAGGCTTTCCTCAGAATAAAGATTGCAAAGCATGTTGAAAAACTTAAGCAGCAAATCTGAGGTCATGACTGTAAAAGAGGCTGATTCCTCATTGTTCGGTGTGCAGCATAGGCAGGGTATAAAGTGTCTCATAATGTGATATCAGAACTGGGAATTGTAGGAATGGGACTGGCTGAAATTATTCTTTGACTGAAATTGCCAGGAAAAATCACCATTGACTCAATCAGGTTAAACTTCCACCCAAAACCTTGACACCAAACCCACAATCATGTTTGTCAGAAGAGTAAGGAGATGAGGGGAAGGAAACTTAATTGGCAACTCACGGACCCAGACAGAATAAAAATCCTAACTACTTTGGGAGAAAGACTGATTTAAAAGGATATCAGAAGTATCTATCTTCTGTTTTTTGACTTCTGGATACAGAAGTACCTTTATTAAAGGTTTTCTTAGACAAAAATAAAAACATCCGTTAGTTGTTTACATTTATTATACGCCAACGTGCTAAACTATTTTATATCTAGTAGGACAAATATGGAAGATAAATTATATGGTCCATACAGAGAAGTGCACTCCTGTACTGTGGAGGTTCAATTCACAATAACAACTCTGTTAAAAGCTGCTTTATTTTGTAAAAAGTGTACTGCAGCAGTAAGGAACAGCTAAGAGCATTTTGCTAGAAACTAAACTTGGTGAAAATTAATCTGGTTTGTTTTTGGTTTTTTCTCTCTAATTATAATTTCCTCACCTGAAAATTAGGCTAATGGGGTTTACCTCACAACAAAATCATACCCAAAGAATTGCACTGTATTTTTGTTCACCTGTTCTGATATTCAGCCACTACCCTGACAGTTAATTACAGGGTCATTTGATTTTTCACCATCTTATTATCTACACAGTCATTTGAACTTGTTTGCAGACACTGGCAAGAGTAATGGTAACTCTTTGAAGCTTAATGAGGTAAGACTAATGGTAATGACTTTCAGCATAGTTCAGAAGGTACCTACACTTTTGTCCCCATCTGACCAACCTAGCTTGTTATTGCCATTTTCTCTTACAGATTGTATTTCTCTTCTATAAAGTTGGCTCGGCTTTGACTTGGCTATTTTCTATACAAAGTTTTCTGGTCATATAACCTAGGCTTGGAAATGCATTGATCTTTAATTTGGAAGGCCCAGATGAGGAAACAAGTCACACCTCAGACTCTCCATCTCTGAGAACATTTCTTGCTCTTGCTATGGTTGGTCCCACATCCTACTGCAGATTTAAAGGTCAGAATTGGTCACATCATTGCACTTCGCTTCTCCCTTTTTCTAATAGTTTAATCATTGCCACTAACTCAGAGATAATTTCACATCCATCTTCTCTATGTATTTGAATAGCCAAATCCATTGTATTTGAATTAGCTATCTACTAAAAACATCCTTTCCAAGAATCCCACCGGGCTGACAGATGCTTGCATAAGTTTTTGTGGCAAAGGAGTGATACAGTATCAGCACGATGTACAGTTTAGGGAGATTATGTTTTCAGTGAACTGAGAGACCTTGTAGAGTTGAGCCATGAGTGACTGCAGGTTGTAGATGAATGTTTTGAACAGCAGCATATATTCTGTGTGCTGCTAAGAACCCACATTTTGGTCATAGCCTGTCTCCAGGACAAGGAATACTGTAGTGTGTGGTGCAGACAAACTGGTCTGAAACACAAGGCATTTTTCAGTGGACAAGCTGTGCTGGGCAGCTTTACTTGTTTATGCAGGATGTATATTTTCTGATGTCTTGGCAATTATGACAATTTTGACACATCATCTGGGAAAGAAAGTAGCAGGCTTAAAACTGTAAGTTGGGACAATGAAGTAGGGTTTAAAAGTGTTCTGCAGATAATTTTCTGTGGAGATTCAATCTTTATGACAACATATAAAAACTCCTCCCTCATCTCTCAGCAATCCACACATTAGCAGGAGGAATGCTGCTCTTCTGTTGTGATGATTGGAAAACTTGCTATCTCTTTGCTATCCAACTATCAACATTTCCTTCCTCACAAGACTTCTTTTACTTGATTTGAAAGTGGCAGTTCTGGTACACAGAGTCAACCCTGACTCTCATTGTCCTTGAGCTTTTCCCAATTGAAAGATAAAGGTGACAACTGTGTCACGTTCACAGGGATCAGAACAGTTTAATCAAGCACTGTTTGTTAAGATCATTGCAACAGGTGCCAGAAAAAAATATAATTATTGTGTGGTAAAGATTTCAAACCTATTGTGTGTTGCATCATTAGTGTAATGCCTGCTTACAGTTTGTCATGTCCCTGCCCTACATATTGCATCCTTTCCAAGGACTGAGTGTTTAATACACGGTATAAACAGCTTCCACAATCTGTCCAACACAGACAAAAAACCCCAGTCTATTCCTTTACAC